CAAGCTTTCATTACTCTCAAGTCTGTGTGGAGGTCAACAGCACTCTGCATCAAAAATAACATCCGGATTTTCAACTCCAATCTGAAGTCAGTGCTACTAAATATACGGATCAGAGACTTGCACTGCGCGTCATAAAGAGCATCTCAAACAAACTACAGACCTTCATTAACAGTTGTCTTCGCTCAATACTCAAGATCAGATGGTCGGCCAGAAAAGATCAGCAACAGGAGGATCTCTGGGAATGAGCGAACCAACACAGCAGGAACCGATTGTGAAACAAATAGGCAGGAAGAAATGGAGATGGATTGGCTGGTCATACTCTGAGGAAACCATCAAGTGACATCACTAGAAAAGCCATTGCTCGAGTGGAACCCGAAAGGGAAGCGGCGAGTTGGTCGTCAGTGCGAGGGTGACTTGGAGGAGGTCATGTGAAGAGGAGATGAAAGCATGTGGGCAGACTTGGAGCCAGGTGAAGACTAGCAGAGAACCGAACGCAATGGAGACGCACGGCTGAAGCCCTATGTTCCTCTAGGAATTAAAGGAAACAATAATAATAGTTATTATTTCTTAGATATCTGTTGTTAAAATCGACTTCTTTTCCTAATGTTTTTCTAAAGCAATGCTCTTCTGCTCCATGGTATAGTGTCCTTTTTAAACCTCCTTCATAGTTTACACATTTAGCCAATCCAACAACAGCTCGAGTGCAACTCTATGTACTTCAGCCTAGACAAATTGGTAGTATCATCAGACCTCTTACCATGTGTGACCTATAGTCTTGAACATGAGAAACCTGTCCTAGGTAGCTGAATTCGAATGAATGGAACTATAACGATCTCAAGAACCGAGTTTGAATAATGTGTTCAAAAGGAGACCATTTCTAACCCCTATTACTTACTACCTTGGTAAACCCTGAATCCTCAGCTTTAATGCATCGAAATTTCACTTTAATTTTTATGAAGCAACCTGATGTTCAGTTTTAAAAGTAAAGTTGTTATAATACTGACATAAATATGCTTTTTCTGAATACTAAACTAACATCATCCACCTGTTCACCACAGGTTTGATTCTACACTCGCTTTAACGTAATACTAGCTACTGAATGTTGCTTTAAAGTATGTTTAACTTCCGACATTTACCAGTCTAACTAGGCAAGTCAGAAAACGAATTTCATCTCTTTCCTACTTTTATATTGGATACAACTGATGCGTTATATATATGTGTGTGAATAACTAGTCTGAAAATCACACCTAGTTACAAATATTCAAGCAGCCTATTTAAGCTAGTACATGATGGTTTTCTGATACACATTTATTGCAGGAACGATTTCTTTGTTGTTTGATTCTTCTTCTTTTTATTAGTAGAACACAAATTTCGTACATTATGAGCATCAAGAGATGCGCCCCGCAAAATCCCTTAGTACGTGCAAGTACTAAGATACTGGCCAGACGTCCATACTGAAGCATGCACTTTTCTTGAAGGCCCCCCCAAATGCATCTGTGCCTCTGACTTGAAGTCTGATTCACAAAGAGAGTGGACAAGGGTCAGGAGCTACGCCCCAATGATTTCCGGTGACGGAAACAGGTTCCTACGCAATTCGATCCTTTAGGATTCTGGAAAACATGTACAGCATAGGTTTGAAATCAGGATTTCGCAGGTTCCCTAGGTAGACCTGGATGTGTCACCAGAAGTCCACACTCGCCCTTTCACTTTTGTGAGGAACGACCGCATCGCGTAAAAGCAGATTAATCAGATAACTGTTCGCCATGATGGCCAATTTATCTTTATATTCAAGTGTTGGTTTGTAGGGATTTGATTTGATTGGTTACAGGATTTCATCATGAGCTGACATCGGTTAGAGAATCACTGGAAAACCAGCTGGGAGTACTGGACAGCTGTTTCGTCAGCCTAGTGTGGGATTCTTCGTCAGTACGCACCCACAGGGGTTCGAACCATGTCCGATTATTCCACTACATAGAACCATTCGGTGCTCATCCGCCTAAAAGATAATATAAAGTTTTTACTCTCAAAACTGGAAATCTTATACATCAATATCATCTTCGGACGCCTATGAACTACATGTTATATATCACTGCATAATTGCGTTGATCTTGAATCAATACAGCACCCGACCGAAACAGACATGGCAAGAGAGAACAGTTTTTCATGATACAATACCAATTGATACTATTGGAGACAAAGGTCATATTACATCACAATAATAATAATAATTATTATCCCCTTGAGATCCTAGTGGAATACAGAGATTCAACAGAACATCTCCATTTCTTCCTGTTCTCTGCAGCCCCTTTTACCTGAACTTCACAATTGCCAGGTGAGGTTTAACCCACCTCCACGTCAGCCTCGGACACCTCCTACACCTAACTTTTGTTGTTTGTATTCAAGTTCCGTAAGTGAAAACAAAGTGAGCAGGTGAGCACATCACCTCTACCTCTCCAGTCTTATTTTTAAACTCTTCAGTTTTCAACAGCTGTCTGTCTGTCTGTTTTCGACATAGAACTTTGCACATATGTGCGGCAGTTCAAGTCGCCACAATCCATGTAGCACACAAAGCAAGAGAAGAAAGCAGGAGAAATGCATAATATAGACAGTAAACAGAGGTGTGAGACAAAGGAATAGTAATAACGAAGAACAAAACAGTTTCATTGGAAATCATAAGTCACAAGGAGTGGATGCATCTGCGCCATCACTGAGAACGATTTTGAGCCATGTCACCAATTGTTTCCAACCATTGGTTTTTACCGTCCCGAGAACCCCAACCAGTCAGGAAGTCTACACCTTCCTACGTAGCTTAGACTAACTGTTGTGGATTTCATTGACTGGTGCCATGTTTTCGTTTGACCGCCACTAGCTCTTTTCCAGACTGACCCTATATCAACTAACATTGCTCATTGTCGAGGAAGGTGATGACTAGGCATACGTAGCACATTTCCTAACCATCTCAGTCGATGTAATTTCACAGTCTCGTCGACTGATTTCCCCTCCTTACCTAGCACTCGACGCCTAACCTCAATATTGCTCACCTTATTATGCCACTTCACGCGGGAGATAGAACGCAGACACCTATGATCGAAGACAGCTAATCTTTTCATGTCTTCCGCTCTCAATGGGCAGGTCTCACAGCCATAAAGGAGGATGGAGCGAGCTGCTGAGCAGTACACACGCCCTTTGGTCGATAGTTGGATATCACGTCTACGCCAGAGACGGCGTAAACTCGCATATGCGAAATTTCAACAGCTAGTTCAGTTGGTAACAACAAGACATGGGGGAAGAAGAAATGACCTCAGAAGATATACATATATATATATCACTAAATCAAAAATGAAGACTTTAAACAGTGGAAAATCACGATACAATGGAACAAATTAATCATAGTAATAATAATAAGGACATCAGATAATTCTCTGTGTGTCTCTTTTGTTTTCTGTCTATTAATATTCCTTTCTAACGCCAATATGTGTTTACTTTCTTCCTGCATAGCTAGTTAAATTCACAACATTACAGAAGATATCAAAAAACGAAAAACTGAAATCATGATACTGAAAACCACCGAAAGTAGTTTTAGTAGCAGTAATTGTAATTATAGTAATAGTTAATAATATATAAATAATAATAATAATGGTAATATTAGCAGCAACAACAATATTATAGTGAATAGTATACGAATAGAAAATGTTATGATCAATAATATCCATATTAAAATTAAATAAATGAAAAGAAGTTTACAATTGAAGCCAACAAAGATTAAAAAATAATTTACATATGCAAAGAGGGAGCGAGAGAGAGATAGGCGGGGGGGGAGATCAAAACAACGGTAGAGTTTTCCATCAGTTGTTGTTGTTGTTGTGTAATCAAGTAATACAAATAACAATAGCAATTAGACTAGAAGTGAGTAAAGGCAATCATCATCAAAAGATGTACATATAAATACTACTACTATAATAACAATGAATACTACTCAAATAATAGAAACTAAAGAAGATTAAACTGAGTTAAAAAGATAAAAGTATAAAATGGTGTATAATCTAAAGAACATAGCAGTGGCAACTATTTGGTCCGATTGTAATGCAAAGAAATATACCTGTGCAATGTTTATTGGTGAAGAAGAGAGAGAGGGGGGAAAACCCAGAGGAAATACAATCAATATATAGATAGATAGATAGATCTATACACAGTGGTTAGACGGACGAATAAGTGTACAGTACTGAATAGCCAGGATGTTTAAAACAGTTATTGATCATCGAAAGTACAAGGATAACAATAGAGGACGTATAATACTGAATATACTTCACTTATTCACCTTTATTAACATTATAAAGAAAGCTAGATGAACAGAATCAGATAAGAAGATGAAGAAAATCTCATCGTATATTTGAAAATAGCCAATATTAACAACACATTATTATTATTAGTATTATTACTACTTGCTAACAATATGCCTCAAGAACAGTTGTAATGGTAGGGTATAATTCTATGCATATCTCAATAATGTTATTATTATTTACAAAACACGTCTTGTTTACAACACCCCACTACAATAGCATACGTACACACACACACACACCAATATTGCAGCACTCTATATACAGATGTTGTATTAAGAGTGGAAAAAAACAACATAATAAAATCAGCAGTAGTGGCATTAGTACCATAAAATAATCGATAAGAAAGAACATGTGGACTGCCTTACTTAACACATAAATCTGTGTGTGGTCCAAGTAAGTAGTAGTAACTAGGGTTTTTATCTTCTTTTGGTTGATGATAACTGGAGGAGAGATGGCGGATTGTGGTTGTGGAAAATCAAGAAATTAAAAAAAAAAAACGAAGAGAGTACTCTTCCTCATCCTCTAAGTACATACCAATCAAGGAAAGGTTAAGTAAATTAAGTAAAAGTTTGCATTTTTCCGAAATAAGCAAAACAAATCAAATAAATCAATAAAAGCAAAAGAGCTATATAAAAACATATAAATAAAGAGATAAAACTGTGAATATTATTATTATTATCGTTCATCGAAAAAAGGTCACGGTAAATATTAGAGATGTAAAGAGAATAAATTTCCGTTAGTTAGTTAGTTAATTGTATACAATGCATATATTTCAATCATTATCATTGCTGTTATGATGGTGATGATGGTAAGGCTTTACATAAGTGACTGGGAACATTCCACGTCGACTTTTATCCGAGTGAATAACACCTTCCTAAAGAGAACAATTTGAAGGTGAGAAGAAAGAAAAAAACAAACAAATTAACAAAGCGCACTAATCTCTCATTTCATATATCGTTTTAATAAAAAAGAGAGAGCTTCTCTTGAAATGCACAATAAATGAATGTCCACTTTTTATTTATAATATGAAATTATACAGACAAATTGATAGTGTGGCAATGGGGTCACCATCAAGACCTATTCCATCCGATATTTTCCTTGCAAAACTAGAGAATGGGCTTTTGAAAGGTGAACTAGAATTCTACTGTCGTTACATGGATGATACATTTTTGATTACGAAAAGTGGAGATGAAGCAAAGAACATCCGTGTTGACAAATTTAACGATTTTCATCCTGCAATAAATTTTACCATCGAGAAAGAAAGAGACTGTAGTATTTCATTTTTAAACGTCCTTATGACTAGAGAACAGGATGGTCCAATAAGAAGGAGTGTATACAGAAAGCTTACATCAACTGGTCAGTATACTCATTTTTTCAGCTTGGTACCTTTGAAATACGAAGGCAATCTGATGAAGTGCTTGGTGTCTACAGAGCAACAGCAATCTGCGCTCTGATGAATGTCTTAATGAACAGCTTATTATTATTAAAGAGTTGCTGAGTGAGAGCGGTTATCCAGAAAAATTCATCAAAAGGAATATTCAATAAAAAATCAAGACAGATCAAAGTACCAACAGTTCCAAAACAGGAAGACCTTATTCTTACAACTTCACCTCCTCGAGGATAACATCAATGAGATGTTAACACAACGCCTAAGGCGTAAGGTGAAATGAAGAGCATTCAGTGCTGCCGAAGTATGCTATGTGTTGAAAACCATCCCTATTCTGGTTCGGGAGTTATTGATAAACTACCTAATTTCGCCTCTTCTAAGTGTATCTACTAATCTGACTGATCCTGTGGATTGAGCCAGTTAGTTGCATAGGCCGTACAATTAGACGAGTTTATCTTCGGATTTCCGAACACCATCCGGTGTGGTTAAGTAAAGGACAAACAAAGTCCATTCATATTTCTATTCTATCACATTTAGTGGATACAGAACACAAAATTGATGTTAAAAAGGTGGCTTTCAAAGTCATCTACCGTATACCAACTAATCTCGATTTTATCTCAAGAGTTCGTCTATTGTATATTGCTGAACCTTTCGGAATCTATATTAAGAAGCCTAACTCATGTATATATCCAAAAGAAGTTGGTTCAGATACTGTCCTTGGCAATCAAGGATCTAGTAATCCTTAATTTGTTGTAGAGATTTCCCTAATTTTATTTGATATTCTATTTGCTTATTATTGTTCTATGCTTATTATAACTTATGCATCCTTCTTGAACTGTAGTTTCATTGATCTTACTTAACAAATCGATAGTATTTAGAAAACACCAATTTTGTTAATGACGATTACTCTAGAATATTCTATGTACATAAACACAACATATAATTGAAGGGCCAAAAGAGGAGTTTATCGAAAAGGATATTCTCTGCTCAATTTTTGTTTTCACATTTCATGTTTGTTTAAATTGTTCATAAGAAATAAAAAACAGTTAACATTATTTGTTTTAAGGTTATTTTTTGTATTTCCCATATCGGTCTCTGTGTTGAAATGTTGTCTCCCAGGACTAATGTCTAAGACAAACACGATGTTATTTTATGATGGGTGGTGGACTAGAGGTAGAATCCAGGATGCTCGTTTCATCCTGCTTGGGACTCTTTATCCGCATGAACCTGCGACCCCTCGGGGAGTGATGGTGCCACCAATGAGACTCGAACCCAATACCTATCGCTCAAAACGCCAAAGCATTTGGCTCTCTTTGCCTAGCGCGTCACACTTTGGAACATGAGACGGTGGGTATTGCTTTTGAGTCTCAGTAGGAACACAACTACTCACTGGAGATCGCAGGAACAACCTGAACAGGACAAGATGCGCATGACGGGTCCCACTGTTAGCCAACATCCACTAAAATAAAAGTTAAAATTAAATACAAATTTAGGCGAGGAATAAGACTCCGAGGGTAGCAATATTTTGAGATTTTAGGAATTATGAGCAATAATTTTTATCCCGTTCCTCGTATTCCTCGTTGGTGGTTTTGTGGCTATTCAGTTCACACCTTTGCTCATGTCAGCGGCTTATTGGAGAATGGACGAGGTTTATACAGTATATCCGCTGGGAATCCTATCCACTTAACTGGCAAACGTTCTACAACTGAAACACCAATTGCTAAATCATAAAAATCCAATGAATCTATTATACAGTTATTTGTGTCGATTTCTATTTGTTTATTTCGACACTAGAAAATAATTGTTTCTGCGCATATTTTAAAACAACATAAGTACGCATGCTACATAGATGTTTCAAAGCCAACTGACATAGAAAGTCCCTTCTTTTGATTGAACACTAGTCAGTAACTGGTGTAATGTGTCTAGTTCTATCTTTGGTGCAGACTGAATTCTATCAGTCAAGTTTGCAATGTGGCCACCATGCTAGGTGGTTCGCCATCACGGTGCACTCTTAATTTTTGATATTAGATGGTTGGAGGCAATCGGTAGGAAGCCTTCCACCCAGGTTTCGTGCTAGTTGGAACTCACCAGTTGTTAGCAAGGCGTATCTGCAACTGCCTTGAAGGAACTCATATTCCCTGTCTGAGATTCAAACCCGCGTCACCCAGTGCTGCAGTCAGTCAGAGACGTTACCACTGAGCTTTTCAGGTTCCCAATTGACCTCCTGTAGGATTGCATTGGATACTTTGACTGGACACTAGTTAGTAAGTAGTGGGGTGTGTAGTGGGTGATGTGGGTTCGAATCTCAGACAGGGAATATGAGTTCCTTCAAGACAGTTGCAGATACGCCTTGCTGACGACTAGTGAGTGCCAACTAGCACGAAACCTAGGTTCAAGGCCTCCTGCCGATTGCCTCCAACCATCATCTAATATTGAAAGCTCTTCATACAAACATAAAATATCTGCTAATCAAAGTAATTTATTAAATAAAAATGTGTTAAGTTGTACAATTATGTAGATCACGGATGACAGCCTCTCTAAAAGACAATGTGACTTCAAAGCATAACAAAACCCCTACAAAGCATAGTAATATAATAAAAGTGAGTACTAGTCAGTGAAGGTATTACATAAACAGAATCTGAATGTTGAAAAATACTTTACATAATGTGATGGCTGATATTGTAATAATAATTTTTCGGGTTTACTGTAATCACCACTACAATATCCACATTCTCTGCTATCGTCCCCCATTGAGTAATTTTGCTTGGGTCACTTAATAGTTCCGCACAGGAAGTTTAAGCCTAAAGAAGAGCTAACTGAAACCAACAATTATTCACTTAATTCAATGTTCCAATCAATTCAACCTGGCTTGGAAGCACTAATCGTTGACATGACTAGTATCCAACTAACCATGTCAATCAATGAATCACAGGGGTATTATAGCGTTATATGCATCCAAAATATTCACTTGAGTCTCTCAACATTTTCAAGCTGAAAAATCAGTCGATTGCAATCTTAATAATCGAAGTCGCAATTGAATTTTTGACTCTCTCACCTCAGTGAATATTCGTGATATCATCCGCATATACACATAAACATATCTCCCCCGGCTAAAATTATGTGAAACTAATTTTACGTATAATGAGTAAATTTTTATTTATTTTTCCTTCGCGTTCCCCACTGGAACATAGGGCTTCAAGCTAGAGGCTTGAAGTTTCTGTAGCATTGTTTACTTTACAGGATGGGGTTGCCAGCTTCATGCCCAACCTTTCCTCTTCACCAGCATTATTTCTGGCTTAGCGAGGTAAAGGAGTGTGTCGACCGGGGATCGAACCTCGGACCATGTGCATGGTCGGTGAGCGTCCTAACCGCTATGCCACCGACGCACAATAATGAATAAAGATACTAGTATTTTTAAACTAGTATAGACATACTACTTACATATGTAGGCAGAGTAGCTTGGTAGACAACCATCAAATTTTATGCATTCAATGATACATGGATGCTAAGACTGAGCACAAACTTACACATCAGTCAGAGAACCATTGAAAACCAGGGAGTATCAGAGAGTTATTTCGCCCTAGCTTGGGACTTATTGACTGAATACAAGGAGGACATAGTTTGAAGTTCTAGTGAGAAGTCTTGAGGCGTGGGGTAAACCAGAGGGGTCGGAGGATGTAAGGACAAATACCCGCCGACAACACTGACTACTAATTGCGCTATATATCGCGAAATAATAGAAGTCAGAGTTCAGGGGTCAGTGAATTGCGTCCCAGTGGGTGAATAGTCAACGAACTAGGTTCGATCCATAGTGGGGTGTGTCATCGGTGCGTACTCCTGAATAGTCTTAAATAGGGATGCAACAGTTTTTCTCTAACTAAAGTCAGTTTGTGATCAATACCGAAACCAATCAAACCGCTGTAAACCAACATTTGAAGATTGGTATAGATTCGTCAGTTTCTTTTTTTTCCAGATCGTAAATGATTGGATTGTGTCACAAAAATCAATATAATGATTAAACCAGGCGATGAGTGGCTAAGATTGAAATCTACATAAAAATACCAACACGCATAAAAGATATCAGGTGACATTACGAAATGAGAATTTAAACCAAAGAAAAAATTCAGTAAGACTGTTGGAAGAGATACATGAACCTTTTAATCTCATATGTATCTACTAAGTGTCCATTACACACAGCTTTATCAGAGAAGAAATTTTTATAAATAACTTAAGGAATAGAATGTTTCCATATAGATATATTGAAATGATTGCAAACCAACGACGACTATTTTCGACAATACTATAAAGGTTTATGGGGCGAAGTTAAAGTATCATAGCCAAAAGTCAAGGTCACTGAAAAGTTGACCTTCGAAAACCGACCAGACACACGGAATGCTATGAAATGTCATTCCGAATGATATTATGTCTGCTTTTTTCGAATTGGAGAGGATAGATACAGTATTCTACTTATTTACTTGGTACTTTTCCTGCAGATCTATATTTATTTTATTTTTTAAAATTTTTATTACAGCTTGATGCCACATCGTATTTTCGTACAAGTATGGAATTTTCAGCATGGATATCGGTAGCCCAAATTTTGCAGGCCGAACATAGAAATCGGGTGTGCGTCGGCAGGGATTCGAACCCCGGACCATGCACATGGTCGGCGAGAGTCCTAACCACTGTGCCACCGACGCAGGGTTGTGGCTTTCAAGATTAAGGTTTAGGGTCAAAGTTAGGAGTAGGTGTCAGAAGTATCAATGGATCTTAAAGTACCATGACCCACAGTCACCTGGATGAATGGGTATATCGAGCATGGTGAGATTTCTCTATAGATCATCTGTATATTGACTGGGAGACATTCTAACAAGATATAAGCTATAAGTATACAGTGTAATCATATTATGTTCGCAATATTTTTTTAGTGTATTTTTCAACAATTATGTGACTTTTTGGCAACTGAATTCTGATGGGTTGTTCAAGGTCACTGTGGTTATGGCTATGATAGTTTAACTTTGCCAGGCTTGTGTGCACACTCACCACGAAATATGACCTTGTCATAGTACTACTATGTGAAGAAAATGAAAACGTAAGTAGAACACACTGAACTAAGAATAAATTATACAGACTATGCCATTTTATCAACCTCTTCAATATACAAGGCATAGGCATATGCATACATGTATGGAACGTGATTACATACATTTTGATATGAGACCACAACTGTTTCATAAAGGAATTATAAATAAAAGAGAGAGAGAGGATTCAGTGACACAAACAACCAATTGAGCCAAAGAAATATTTACATAAATTTCACACAAACACACACACACACGAAAAAAGCCGAAACAAACAATTTCGATCATTTAGAAAGTGATTTCTTATAATGTGACTAATGATAAGGAAAGTTGTGAAAATATTCTATAGTGGGATTTTAAAAGGGGAAATGAACGTGATAGCAATAATAATAATAGTGTAATACACTTTGAAGTATCCAAATGTCATGAGAAAAACAAACTATCAAAATGGGAACAAATGAGAAATTGTAAACGTTTACAATTTTTCATGTCCGACTGGCTATCAAACAAAGGATGTTCGTTTCGTTCTCCTTTATGGCTATGAGACGTGGTCATTAAAAGTGGAAGACATGGAAAGACTAGTTGTCTTTGACTATGGGTGTCTGTCTTCTGTGTCAGGTGGTATAATAGGGCGAATAAAGTTGAAGTTAAGCGTCGAGTATTGGGTGAGAAGAGGAAGGCAATAAGTGAGGTTGTGAAGCTGCATAGATTGAGACATGTTACGCATTCCTAGCCATCACCTTCCTCGACCAGCGGGCAATGTTAGCTGATATAGGATCCGGTTGGAAATGAGCTAGTGGTGGTCAAACCAAAACATGGCTTCGTCGGTCAATGAAACCTATAACAGTTAGTTTAAGCCAGCCATCTACGTAGGAAGGTGTAGACTTTCTGACTGGTTGGAGTGTTCACTATAGTAATAATCAATGACTGGAGACAATTCGTGATATTTTTCAAAATCTTTCTCAATGACAGCGCAGATGTATTCACTCTTGGTGATTTGTCGTATTCAGTGGAACTCTCTTGTTCTTCCATATTGCTATTCTGTTCCCCTCACACTTCTGTTTTTTATCTCTCTTTTGAAACTCTCTATGCTCTCTTCTCTTGCTTTGTGTACTGCATGGAGTGTGGCAACTTGCACTGTTCCACTTCAGTCCTATATTGAAACGAGTCAGCCAGTCAGTCATTCCTGAACACTTACCGGTATGGTTGTCAAAAATAGAGGGCAGAACAGTAGTCAACAGCTCAATTCTCTGAAACATATTGTCACTTTTGATCATGCAGGATCATCATCAACAGAGACTTCATTTAAATTCATATATAAAAGTGCAATCAAGCCGTTCATAAGAATTTCGCCTAGATCTACTTCATGTAAACCGAAGCTTTAATATTCCATAAAGAAAAACGTGAATTTTGTGTTCAGAAACATTTTGTACAGCATCCTTTTACTGTCGTAGCATAGTGCCAATTTTCCTTTCTGTAACCCATTTTCAGTCCTTTTTTCTATTGGTTTTCTATCGATCATTGCCAAATGATCATTCGTTACTTAACTAATTAGTTGTCAACTCACTCAATTGCGTAGGATTATCCAATCTTCTCTCACACTTTGTTATGACTCATCACCATACACTGATTTATTTTATTGCTAACTAACTATAACCTATAACCTTTAATGTCAATTTAACGTTGCATATATATATGTATCCCCACCCACCCCCCGCGCAAAACAATGATCGTACAGCTTTGAAGGGAAGTGTAATGAAAAGCGGTGTCTTTGCCGACTAATATGTTCGTAAAAAAAGAGGCAGTTTCAAAGATATACAAGCAGTACAAGTAGAAATAAGCTCTCTTATCGGCTAAATCTTTTTTTATGTATCAATAATATAGTTACAATGTGTATAGTAATCAGATCTGTCTCTGTCTGTCTGGATTCAACAAAGAACTTGGCACCGAAGTGCAGCAGTTCGAGTTGCCACGTTCCAAACAGATGTATCTTTAAAAAAACTTATACCCCTTCACTTACCCACCAATCATCGTCTGGCTTATCACATATTTGTATTATTTCTCCACGTGAAAATGTCAGCTCATCAGAATTCTCTGCTTCACAGTCATACAGAGCTTCAAGTAGATCACCAACTTTACAATTTGCTACTGAAGCATTATTACCATTACTTGTTAGTTTCGATGGTGAGTCCGTGGATTTTGATGCAAGTGATGCGGTGATCGATGCTGGAATACAGGCTGCTGATGAAATATTTCCAAATCTGTCTACAATGTTGAATAACACACATAGACAAGAGAATAATGGTAAGAAAAATTCAGAGGATAGAAACAATTATCAGAATGAGCACTTTAAAAAGTCAATGTTTCGATTGTAGGAAATAATACTGAACGATGCGAAACAAACTTTCAAACAATTCAGTTAAAGTGTATTTCTGAGCCCATTACTTTAGAGTATCGATGCATTAAATGAAGATGCAAAGTGCTGAATTATGCCAGTCAGTCACAACCTCGCTTGAATACACATATCTTATGTTATTTCGCCAATATACACAGTGTTTATAGTAGACACACCATAGGAAGGTATACTTCTACGATCTTTACACCTACTCATATGAAACACAACTATCGTATTATATCATGGTTGGCTATGTTATATTAGATAGTTGGAGGCAGTCGGCAGGAAGCCTTCCACCTAGGTTTCGTGCTAGTTGGTACTCACCAGTTGTCAGCAAGGCGTATCTGCAACTGTTTTGAAGGAACTCATGTCCCTTCTGAGATTCAAATCCGCGTCACCCAGTGCTGCAGTCAGCCAGAGACGTTACCACTGAACTATTCGGGCTAGCGATTGCATTGGACAATTTCAATGGACGCTAGTTAGTAACTGGTGTCCGATCAAAAGTTTGCTATGTTATATTAGTGAAGATTGCCGGTTGGTGAAGATAGTAGGACGGTGTTTACCGGCTACGGAAAATTCGCCTGTCTAATCAATCAGTCATATACGGACATATCTATATAGCATTTTATTACCCTGACACGGATTCCCCTAGCCAATCATATGATCTGATGGTATTCTCGCGATGTTTTGCTACTAAATTTGCCAAGGGCAATGGATTAGTACTCGACCTAATAGTTGTGAGCAAGATATTCGAAGCGAGTGGTATGCTACATATTGCATGCGCCTCACCCTGATAATATTTACCCTATTTATAAAAGGTATCAATCAAGAGTATGTTCGCAATGAATGGTTTACACACAAGGACTACTCTCAAAGTTCAAGTCAATGAAACAATGAGTAACAATACAAATAACCTAGAAGGTGTGAAAACACACAAAAACAACCAATCACGCCCAAGGTCACGAGGAGAGATGATTAATAAACTCGTGGAGAAATCTAAAAGCTCACTTCAAATTGAAGTGTGCGCTGAAGATGTCGCCTAGTAGGGCGATGAAAGCTTCGCAAATTAACAATCCAGTTCAGAGAACACAACCACACCAAAATCAATGTTTATTGATATAAGAATAAAACTTGGGCACTGTGGTAGAATGTAATTCCATTATGGGCAAATTTTTATTTTGATAGAGTCTCACAGTGTTATACAGTAATATTTACTGATGACGTTTCGAGCACAATTTATTGCTCATAATCATATCACCTTGATATGATTATAATATTATTAGGAGTAAAAAGAAATTAGCTGAAGGCCTTGTTATCTTGAGTCATGTATTATATTATTCGCCACTATTTATCACCATGCCATTATTCTACATAAAACAACTGGGCGGCCTAGGCTACCAAAAAGCCTCCATCAATATATATTGCATAATTCCTCTTATTCACTTTGTTTAAGTCTAGGAAAATATGACCTCTAACAATATTGTTTACTCTGACGAGTATTCAAAATGTTCACAACATGCCGATTCGCAATTTTCTACTGAACATGTGAATAAGCATTATCCTCAATGCCAGCTTATCCCAATACATGAGATGACCATTCCTGAATGGTTCTTGGTTCACAAAATGTACTCCTGAACTTTTCATAATTGGCATTCAACCAAATGTCGTTGTGTATTTCTCGAAGGAGAAAAAGAAAGAGATATCATAAGGGGATTGGTTTGCTCTTCAGGACTGATAGAATTATGTTACATGATCTACTGGCAGCCAATTAATCATTTATTTGAAGATCCTGGACGAAGGGAAAATATCCCTCAATAAACTTCACTGAAAATCCTGTACATTTTTATAAACACTGTTCAGAATAAAGCTATTACTGTTATTATTAACATTAAAAAATGATGGAGCTGTGACTGATGCGTCTGGTCTGGATAGTTGATTTCTAACCAGGGGAATTGTGAATTCGAACTCCACTTCATCCACTGACATCCAAGCAAACACGCAGGCAGGCAGGAGGTACCATTAAATCTCACAACATTAGTGTGTGTTTCATCGGCAACTTTCACTAGTGGTTGGGTAATCAAGAAGCAGCTATAGGATTGCTTACTGATAGAAAAATTAAAACTATAGGAAGATATATGCACCAAGCAACAAAGTAGGTAACAATATCAAGCATCATGTTACTAACAGTCCACTTCAAAAATTCGTGTAGTGTTCTACAAACTAAACTTTCTACAGATTAAAATCAGCAATACTGAAATAACGCATAGGGAGGAGTGATGGATGAAATTCTGAACACTAACCAAATCTAGAACAACACACTTAAGCGAACAATGTTGTTTTCACTTAGATCTCATCAGGTTTAACTCTAATATCAACATAACTTTACAAATCAATATTCAAATATAAACCAATCATGGTGTTTTGTCTATAGGATAATAAGATATATAAATTGTGTAATTAGTCATAATAATAGTAATGATTATATCAATAATAAGGATGGAAAAGTGAGGCGATCTGTGATAAGACGAATAACGAAAAATAGCATGATTAAACAAATGTTCAGGTAGACATAGTAGTCGATAAAGGCTAAGAACAACAAATGGACCGATTAAGTAGTGCTAGATTGTAAGGGAAGTAAGTAAAATAAGTTTCAATGAATATGTGATCAGATTAAGGGATGATAAGAGAGGAGTTGAAAATATAAGTAAACATGGTGGAGAAATCATCAGTTGATCAGGTCTTAATAAGCCAAAGGAGGGATAATGGCTGTACGAACTTTTTTGAATGCATAGATTAGGCTTACAATTCGAATGCCTATTCGCCTCAGCTGTGTGCAGTAGACGAATACAAAGTCTATTGGAAAGATTCGGTGGGATGCGATAAATTACCTTGAGAGCATTCGTTTTCCCTCCTACATGACCGCTATCAGCTAAATGTGACAAAATGGAGCTATGGATTGTTTTTGCCTGACTTTTGCCAAACGACGATGGGAGATGTTCAGTAACACATTGGTTGGCTAAGCTATCTAGTAGTACGCCCGACATAACTGTCACCGCAGGTGCAGTTGAATTGATAAATGCACATAGATATGGCAAGTCATAGCTTATTGACTACATGTGTTGTAATATAGAGGAGGTAGTGGCTCTATGTATGCTCTCCTTTCATCAGTTGAGCTATCGAACAGGGAAGGATATGTTTCTCAATCAACGTTCTATCTATCTAGCTGCATTTCACTCACTGTTGTTCGGTTTACTGAATCCCGCGTATAACTCTGTTGTGTGCTGCTAAGAATAACAAATCACACACAAACAAACAGACAACGCCTTGACTTTGAAAAACGTATTAGTCTTGTATTCGAGTCTAGGTATGAAAATCAGAAGCACACGACGAAAGTACGTACATTTTCCTGGTGATATAATCCTAGGCTAGATAATCAAAATTATCTTAAAGGCAGTAACGATGCACCAGTATCAGTGAAGGCAGGCAGCTTGTAAGAAATAAGAAACTGATTTCCACGATTTAATAAACTAGCAACAATAGGTAAGAGAAGATAAGAAACGTAAACACACTCATCGTTTTTATTCATTCATAAACACTCAACACTCCATACCTGTTATGTTATTTATTATCATTATTATTATATTCCTTTACGTTCCTAGTGGAACATAGGGCTTCAAGCTAGAGGCTTGAAGTTTCGGTAGCAGTGGAGTTTATTTTTACGGGATGGAGTTGCTAGCCTCATGCCCAACCTTTCCTCTTTACCAGTCTTATTGCAGGGTTAGAGAGGTAAAAGAGTGGTGCGTCGGTAGCCGTGGATCGAACCACGAACCACATGAGGCGTGGTTGGAGAGCATTCTACTACTGTGCCACCGACGCACCTATTATAACTGAGCATATATAATCAGAAAACAGCTACATACAGGATTAAGCTTCAAACATGGAACTTACCATTTATATGCTGGGATAAAGAATATTTCAAGGAGTCGGTATACTGACTAGATGATGATGAGGTTGTTGTTGTTGTCGTTTTAGTTGCAGGTGTTGATGTTGAAGAGGTTAAACAACTGGAAGAGTCAAGTACAGTAGGTAAATTTGAATTAACCGAAACAGAACTAGTCCTATTCTATAATAAGGTAAAAAGATAAAAGGGAACATTTTTATTATACAGCTATTATACAGTTGAATACAGTACATTTTATAATTCATCATCCTTATGTATAAAGAACTAGTCACAACAGACATCACCTTATGCAGGTGACTTCAACAACAATAAGCACTATAGAATTAACCAAATAGTCCTCGGATTCCCAATGTCACTTTGTCTACTTTATCAAGGCAAGGCATTGTAATTTCTTATAGTTAATTGTCAGCAGTATGTGGATGTATCCAACGTCATTAGAACTGTCACGCAGATGAAAATTGTATAGTCCTAGACCAGTCAGCATGCGACGAGAAATGTTAGGCGGCATAGGGTTGGAAGTACTTTTAAACCAAAACCTGAAATCAATCCATGAAGTCTTTCCCGGTGAATTTGAGTTATGTTGTGAGGTGTAGACTGCGTGTTTGAGATCCTCAGGATGGTGAGAATTACTGGGTTGGAGACTATTACTGATATGAATCAAAATCATTCTCAGTGGCTGATATATAGACCTAATTTTCTACGTGTCTGTTTGTATTTCCCTCACTCCACTTATTCATTGATGACCTGACTTTCTCTCACCCTACTTATGACCTTTGAAATTCCATTGATTATTCACTGCTTAATTTATCAGTGACATTAGTGCTTCTCAAGGTCATTTTAAGCAAGCACTGTCGACCTTTTTTGACTATAGTTTTGAGACGGTAATAGCTCTCTTTTCGACGTCCAGTCTTGTTTCCTCCTTCGTAGAGTGTAACGACTTGAACTGGTATGACTTCTGTGTACAATCCCCTGCTGAGACTTAGTCATTCAAACAGTCAGAGATGAATTACAAACAACAACAGAAAGGATGACTGAAGAATATGGGTGTGGGGAAGACACCTCGTTCAATTACACCAGGAGTACAGTATACAGAGACCTCCAGAATATTCTTGCAAAAAATTTATCAAAACATTATCCAGCCGACCAATCATGATTGCGCAAGCGAAAGACAAGTTAACTAGCTGTGCCACTTTTATGTGTACCTATAAATTTAACTGCTCCTGCGGAGAAATCTATATAGGGGGAACAACTATACAGTTCAACATACGTATTAATGAGCATCTTCCTTCATGGTTCTTAAAAGGCCAAATAAAATCTATAAGAAGTTCTATTTTGACTCATTTGATTGATAGCGGTCACCAAGCGGACAGAGGAAGTGCCTTCAAAGTTATCTGTCGCGTACCATCGAGCCTTTCGAAAAGAATTCGAACCCGCCCTCTACACATAACCGAGAATTCGAGAGAACAATCCTAGTCTTCGTATACAAAAGAAGTTTGTTCTACCTTTGTCTCTGCCTTGGTCTAGGTAAAATTTAATTGAAACTCTCCCACTCTGTCTTCTCTTTCATTCCCTTCGTGTTTTAATGATATTTATTTAAACTCTGATTAACTGTCTACTTTATCTTTAGAATTACGTAACTCCTAAGATTTGACCTAATTTATTTATTGAATTGTCTACAAATACACATATTACTACCTTCGTTATTCGTATGGCAGCGTGCATAAACCTTATTATCATTATTTTGTTGTCATTATAATCATCGTTATTAATGACATTCAAAACATTCACGACATTATTATTATTTGATCCACAAAATCACCGTCACTGGTTAAAAATGTTATATATGAATCTATGTAAATTAGAGAAAGCCTGAAGATCTGATTGAAAACAATATTGTTCGTTTATACGTCTTGTTCTAGAAGCTAGATAGATTAACAACACCAACTATTCACCTCAAAACAGAATCTTTTTTTGGGGGGGGGGGGTATAAAGCACTTATACTCCCCCCGTACACGCTGACGAAAATCTATCGACCGTAAATGTAACAGGATCGCTGAGCTTCCAGGTATAATTTATTTCCCTCACAGCCTAGTTATGCATTAAGGTGTATTACTGCACTGTAATGAAAATAATGTACTACGTGCTACCATGCACCACAAGCAACAATTGATATGTCACGTCTTATGTTATTAATCAGTTTCAACTACAGGTGATTTGGAGACTATAAAAGCAATCGCACTTTCATAAATTAACCACCACTAGCTTGTTGGACCTTGTAGCATTTTTAATGAAAACCCTATTTTCTAACCCACGACCGATCTGAAGATGCAGAGTATCTAGTTAAGTTGTTCATACTACAGTTGGATTACTTCACAAATAAAGGCTAAACATTTACCATCGCAAACCTACTTGATCAAACTGAAAACTTATTGAGCTGACATCGGTGAGAGAACCACTGGAAAACTTCGGAGTAGAGCTGGACAGCTGTTTCGTCAGACTAGTTCGGGACTCCTCACCAATACGCACCCACTCCACTGCCAGGGTTCGAGAACCCAGGAGCTCCCGGTTTCGAGGCAAGCGAGCTCATTGACCATTAAACCACTGGGACCCAATCCAATGGCCAGACCATGAATTCCAACTTCTGCCAATTCACGATATAGCGCGACCACTAGCCAATGCCATCGGCGAGTATTTGTCCTCACACCCGACCTGCTGTACCTTACTGGGCATGACTTTCCATTAGAACCATAAGTAACCACCTGCCTGAATAGGGTCAGTCGCTAACGAGCATGTCATTGATATTCAAATCCTTACAAACCAATACATAACACAAACACATACACACAAAGGAAATCTTAATTACACATAAATGAATAAGAAGGTTAATACTCACCACATGTAAACTTCGATTAGGCAAAGTTGAATACAGTGTATTGGATAGATAACTAGGTTTAGGTGGGATTGGTGGAGATGTCGTAATACCATCATGGCCATCACCACCATCATCATTAGGAATTGTAGACGAAGAAGTGCCTATACTCTTCATTGTTCTTGATGTAAAAACAGTATTAGTGTTATTGGCGATAAAATCACCAGCAGGAGAAGATGAGGTAATTACACAAGGTGAAGATATAGTTGGTCTTTCTTCTAGAACATCTAATATTATATCAATATGATCACTGGGTAATTGTTTATCAGCCTCAGAAGGAGCTAGATAAATACACAGATAAAGATAAGGAGAAAGAAAACAAGACATTAAAATACATATCCAGATGTTGAGATTTACAGTGGGTTGGAAGAGAGAAGCGTGTGACGACGGGGGGGGGGAGGGGAAGAAAGGAAAATAAGATACACAAGAAAAGATGAAACAATGTGTAGTACATCAACATATAGCAACAGGTTATCTTGAATGTTTTCTTTCTATAATTAGTTTATTTATTTACACTAAGTTAACCAGTAAAGAAATTTCATATTCTTGGCTATGGGCCGAAAATTATAGCGTGTTAGGTCCTGATGAGATACTAACCAGTTGCCTAGGTGGAAGGGCATTCGAATCCAAGGCCTATTGACTGAAAACCGAGTGCTTAAGCCAGTAAGCCACATCTCTACTATTTCTACAGTATAAGGATGACGTACAGCTAGGCGGATTTCTATGTAGAAAAAAATTTAAGGTTTGATTACTTACTGATATCAGTTACAGTACCATTGAAAAAACAGAGTCATGGACAGTGGTATCGTCCCAGTTTGTGACTCTTCATCGGCACACACCCAATGACCCATCAGGTCACAAGGAACAGTACCCAGAATCTTCAGGTTCCAAGGTGAACCTATATACCATTCCAGCTACTGGAACGAATCCAATGGCCCATCAAATTTAACTTGTGTCAATTTGCGATTTTTAGCGTAACCGCCACCAGTCAGTAATCACCGGCTAGTATTTGTTCTCATACCCGACTCCTGGTGGAGCCCACTGATCATGACGTCTCACTGAAAAACTCCAGGCAACTTTCTCGTGTTGTCAGTCATTTATAAGCATAAAATTAATTTTCAAATGCCCGTTTTGTCAGGATTTGATTGGTTTCAAGTTTGAAAACCAATTGATATAAGTTAGAGAAACCACGGAGTACTAGAAATCTTTTTATTCTATTATTTGGTGCTTTGCATACTAATGAAGAATCCCGAAATAGGACGAAACAACTGTCCAAAACTCCCTGATTTTCAGTGGTTCTCCAACTGAAAGCAATCCGTGGTCTAACTCAAAAAATTAATATGAGTGAAAAAAATATGGAAAACGTAAAACTTGGCCTATTAGAATAAGGAACTAGACGTACTAAATAACTATGCATACTGATCACAAAGGAATTTCTAAGTACCTTTTTTGAATATACAGTGAAGACAACCACCTCTGTAATTTAGTGGTATATATATATACATAGTAATGAATTCGTAACTAGTGTAAACGGTGTGCCGTGTATCGGTGGTTCAATAGTAGAATGAACATCAATCAGGACACGACGTGTGATCCGGGATTCAATTCCCGGTCGATGCACTCCTAAACCTCATTTAGTCAGTATTAATTCCGACAAAGAAGGAAAGTTGGGCGTGAAATTAACAACCTCACTGAGTAAAAGAGAAATAACACTACACTGCTATACTGACACTTCAAAGCACCAAGCTTGAAGTTCTATGTTCCACAAAGGAATAAATAACATGACACACAAGTTAGACTTTATTCTCATAAATTGGTTATATAAGAAAAAATTAAACGCGTAGATGAAGAGATTGAGACAATTTCTTTCCACTTAAGAAATTTACCACCCTTAAAATTAATCTCCAGTTGGTATGGAATTATGATTTAAAGTATATATTTAAAAGCAATATGGATAACAATTATTGCAAAGAGTTACAGTTACTCTTGTTGCTGTTCAAACACACGAGAGAAAAAAAAATAAAGTGAAGATTGATTTACACCTAAGTTATATTATTATAATAGTAATAATTAAGTCTAATCTCATTACCACTAAGAAATAAACCGAATGACTGACATGTATGAAGAGCTATGTAATGTATGTAGTATATCATCGACGCTGAAAGACAAGTCGTTATTCTACCCTACCACCCTTTCAAATTACATCATAATTAATTGTGTCGAAGTAAATTAGAGAAATGAATGAATCTACTCATCATTATTTCTGACTTTACATATAACAAAGACCCAGCATGTTTTGTTGTTGCATACACGATTAAAAAAATTCAATATTATTAGACAATTTGATAAAGAAGGAGGGTTGCGGAAGAGAAGTAAATCAAACACAGCATGTACATACATTCACATTGATATGATAGACAATACGGATAAGAAACAGAAAATGAGTCACGATTACATTGTAACGCGTAACACACGCACACACACACTCATTCAACACCAGATATGCTACTCTCTCTTAGATTTTACAGATAAGGAAATGTGTACAGAGTATTGATTAGTTTCATATATTAGTTTCAGATTTCATCGCAAGTTGACATCGGTTAGAGAACCATTGGAAAACCAGAGAGTGCGAAACAGAAGTTTCGTCAGCCTAGTTTGGGACTCTTCATCGGTACACACTCAGTGGGATTTGAAATCAGGACGTTCCGGTTACAAGCCGAACTCGTAGACCACCCATTCAACCACTGGGACCCAATCCAATGAGATGAATTCCGAATTCAGTGCAACCTCTATAGTATTTTTTTCTGATTACAGCTTGATTCCACACCGTATTTTTTGGTACAGGTATGGAATTTTTAGCATGTGATATCGGTAGCCCAAATTTTGCAGGCCGACCATAGATATCAAGTGTGAGTCGGCAGGGGATCGAACCCCGGACCATGTGCATGGTCGGCGAGAGTCCTAACCACTGTGCCACCGACGCACAGTATTCAACAAAGGTTTTCCTATGGTTCTCTAACAGATGTCAACTCCTGATCAAATCCCTGAAAACCAACACTTTATAATAGTATATCACGGGACTAGACAGAATTGTCAGCGAGACTTGTTAATAACCGAGGAGAACATCAGGCACGGCTGTCCAACTTTAATATAAAATTTTTCAGAATTAGCTAATGTTGGTTTTTGCAAGAAATCAAAAACAATAAATAGTGCAGGAACGTCAATGTTGATTTCTTTTCACTCTTAATTAGTTACATCATCATTTATTTAACGTTATGCATGCTTCACATGTTTGATATCTAAACAAATGAGCTTGACATTTTCGAATGACTTACGCAGTCTTATAAATAATATACCTCAGTATCTTTTCGTTACCTTTTGACTTCCCACTACTTTTTGTTTTATTCGAGAAACTTCGATCATGTTACCCATATAAGTCGAGCAATATTTCATGTCTCCTCCAGGTGAATATAGAGAAGACGGAGGTGATGAAAGTACCCACCAACTAACAGCAACAACAACCAGAACCGATCACCATCAACGGGAGAGATTTGACTTGGGTTACTTCCTTCACTTATCTATACAGTAAGTATTGTTTCAACTACAGGTAGCTGGATCGGATGAATATGTCAAAGCAAGCCAGAATCAGAAAGGCAAGATACGCATTCATCAACCTGAAACCAGTTTGGAAATCATCTGCACTCCACACCTCAGCATAAACACCAAGATTCAAACTTTCAACACGAATGTGAAATCAGTCAGTCTTCTATACGGGTCACGAAAAGCATTTCCAACAGGCTACTGAAGACTTTTATCAACAGTCGCCTTCAACAGCTGGCTTTATATTGAAGATCAGATGGTCCGTTGGCCGAAAAGAATTAGCAACAAGAAACTATGGAAACAAGCTAACCATGAACCTATTGTTCAGCAAGCATATAGGGGAAAATGGAAATGGGTAGGGCACATATTGAGGAGACCGTCGAATGACATCGTGCGTCAGGCCCTCGATTGGAACCCAAATGGGAAACGATGATTGTGTCTGATGGTGACATGGAGAAGATGGTGTGTAGAGGGGATGAAAGATTATGGGCAGTTGTGGGCCCAGCTGAAGAGGACAGCAGAAAATCAGGCAAGGTTGACACGTGCTGTTGAAGCCCTATGTTCCATTTGGAACCCAAGGGAATAATAACAATATTGCATTTACTTAAAATAGTTCGGTTAATCCATATACCATTATCATTCTGAACTGCTGTTTCCCACTTTAATCGCCCAATGAAATGAAGTATGTTGAAACTGTAACAGAACTATTAAATGACTATTTTTTGGTTGTATGCAGTTGACAAGAGATACGCCAATGATCTAAACAATGGATCCATGTATTTTATTCTACTCCGTGTGTTGTCGTTGCTTTGTTCAAATTCATTAAGGGGAGCTCGTGTGTAAAATTATTCTGGTTGTACAACTACGTTTTGAATTTAACAGACGGCAGTGCATCTCTTCAATATTATAAGTAGACCACAAGTTTGATCACGAAGTGACATCATTTAGAGAATCATTGAGAACCAGGGAGTACTGGACAGTTGTTTCCTCCTAGTTTGGGACTAGGGACTAGCGACACGCACCCATAACAGAATCCCATCGAGGATCCACCCCACGACCTTCTCTGCATTCCAACATTTAGCAAAAAAGTTTTTCGTTTCTGAGAATTATTGCAGATACCAGGCTTACATCGATGGGGAAAAAGTTTTGTTCTTATTGTTAAAGATAAAAGTCATTATAATAGTCATAATAACAACTTACAACTTGGAATCCGACTGATATCTAATCGATTGAATGTACTCCAAAACTAAGAAGAAATAAGTCAAAGAAGGAAAAGAGAAACAAAAACATTCTTATTAAATTATAAATAGGTTTCTATTTAATTATTCAATAAATTAATTCCTTGAACACACTTATTTAAACATGATTGTCTCATTTCTCAACGGTAAAGCTGATAAGCATGAGATACGAGCGTAATCAGCAGTGCAGTAAACAAATACTTCATACAGTAGGTTTCAAGCTAAACAGGAAAGAGAGCTATTGTGTTATCGGTAATAGGAACTCGAAAGTTGATTTTAACGCATGATAACTTACAACTGTGACTTACGGAAGTCAATGACGTCACAAACTTTGATGCAATAGATATAGATCAGTTGGAGGATTTCATCATGAGTAGAGATCAGTTAGAGAACCTGTGGAAAACCTGGGAGTACTGGACAACTGTTTTGTTTTAGTTTGGAACTCTTCAACAGTGCGCACCCGAACAGGTTTTCCAATAGTTCCCTAACTGATGTCTGCTCATGATGAAATCCTCCAACCAATCAAACAAAATCCCGACAGAAATCAATACTTGAAAATACAGATCAGTCGATTACAACACATATATGCGACAGCAGGACATAGTATTATTTTGGTTTTTTACTGTCACTGTTTTCTTTAAGGACATATTAGTGAATAAAGCAGACACGTATTCAAGAAAATCATGAACTTATCATTGTTCACCTTTAAGTGTTTTATTCTTTACACAAATAGAAAACTGTCATTTACACTGCATTTTAGAACTTCCTTGTGTGTAACAGTTGTTGAAGTTGTATCAGCTATTTAGCAGTTATATGGTATGGTGAGCTAGGTATAATCAAAGATTGGTGTCAAGGGAAAAAGCACAGTGTATACATAACCTGTGTGTCACGGTACCAAAAGGTTTTAGTGTGAGACATAGTGCCTTGTTCTTCCAATATTTCTAATGTCCCTGTTTTTCAATCCTTCCCATCAAACCACTATAAGTTAATAAATGATGAGCTTCAGAATTATTACAATTGTGAATGTCATCTTTTTGCCTATCCAATCAGATTTATCCACGATAACAACCCTTGACATTATAAAAAAGCAGATTTGAAGATCAGTGAATCCTCATTTGTTTTCACAGTTTCACAAAGCCTCTTTATGTTCTTTGGTTATTAACAGCGTTTTCTTTCACAATCAACTACGCATATATTTGTAACAGTAGTCAACTAAAGTTTACCTAAATCTATAAATCGCCTTGTGTGACGAAGGTGTAAGTCTTCAGTTTGTTCGTGAAGGTATTGACACAGAACTTGTATTAACTAATGGATTTTTACAATTCTTGATTTGTTTAAAATTTTCTTTACGTTCCCAGTGAAACATAGGGCTTCAAGCTAGAGGCTTGAAGTTTCTGTAACAGTGGTGATTATTTTATACAGGATGGGGTTGCTAGCCTCATGCCCAACCTTCCCTCTTTACCAATCTTACTACTGGCTTAGCGAGGTAAAGGAGTGCTTTGGCCGGGAATTGAACCCCGGATCACCTGCGTGGTCGGTGAGCATTCTACCGCTGTGCCACCGACGCACACACTTCTTAATAATATACTCTAAACGACAGTATGCATACACCAAAAACAATAAAACAAAACAACTTTCAATTACATCAGCTTTATTCGATGTTCCAGAATCGAATGAATCATTTGCTTGACTGTCTATAGATGGCGGACGAGGAGCAGGACCTTTTTTACGAGGAAGTGTTGCCAATACACTACCGTAATGTGCTGAAGGAGAATACTGACTGAAAGCTACAAAGTAAAGGAAAAACAAAAACAAAAAAAAAAAAACAATTAAAAAGTAATAACTCAAATAACAGAAATAAATCATTATTATTATTGTTATCCCCCCCCCCTAGTTAGTTTCTGAGTAGAACGTAGGGGGCTTCAACAACACACCTCCATATCATCCTGTTCTCTAAAGTCTGCTTTGACTAGCTCCACGACTGCTCATAAGCTTTCACTTTCTCCTCATACCACATCTTATCCGTGTTACCCTTGGACCTACACCCATTCAAGGGCTTCAACGGTTAACTCAGAGTGTGTTCAATTCATGTCTATTTCCTTCAGTATATTTATTGGACAATAAGGTTGTGTTGGTTGGTTCATTCCAAGAGTTCATTGTTGGTAATTCTTTCCGGTTGGCCATCATCTTATCTTCAATATAGAGCGAAGTCTGTTGTTGATAAAAGTTTTTAGTGCCGCCTGTTGGAAAGTTTTTGGTGACGCGTTAACTCTTTGAACCCTATATGGAAGCAGTGACTTGACATACAAGGATTATACTCTCTCATGTAATTCAGATGATTGAAAAAACCCTTTTTAAATGAGCCCACAAGCAAATAGAAAACCCAAAAGCCCGAACAGTTAAATGCTTATATCTATTTCAAAGATGATCGAATTGAACAGGAATAATATCTAGTAGAATATACAATTCCATGATGACTGGAATGTTTAAAATCATTAGTAAACTGGGTAACACAAACTTGCAAAGCTTTGATTGGCCGCACACAATTATTGAATATATATATATATATATATATGTATAGATATACATGTATATATATATATATATATAATGCAAGAAAAATGTGACTGGTTGCAGGATTTCATCATCAGCTGAAATTGGTTACAGAAACACTGGAAAACCTGGAAGTACTGGACAGATGCTGAGGAGTCCCAAAATATGACGAAACAACTATCCAGTACTCCCTGCAGGTTTTCCAATGGTTCTTTAACCAATCTCAACTCATGATGAAATCCTGTAACCAATCAGTCAAATCCCTACAAACCAACACTTGAAAAATATGACTACTTTTTTCCGGGTTACAGCTTTATTCCACACCGTATTTTTGGTACAAGTATGGAATTTTCAGCATGTGATATCGGTAGCCCAAATTTAGCAGGCCAACCATAGATATCAGGTGTGCGTCGGCAGGGGCTCGAACCCCGGACCATGTGCATGGTCGGCGAGAGTCCTAACCACTGTTCCACCGAGTTCTCTGTACTGTACTGTATTGATAGTGGTTCACCAACAATACATAACACTCGTGGACAGCTAAATTGATAACACTTCAAGGTTTGCTATAAAAAACAACATTTCAGCTCTCCTAATGGAGAGAAAAAGGGGAGGGGTGGGGCTTACATCGGATAGGTTTGTTGAACGTTGGTACATTTTTGCTTGTAGCATATCGGTTTTCTTCAAAGGTTATTTGTTTCCCACTTGATGTTGTCTTAGAAGAGTTTATATCACGTGGACTGGAAATGGATGGCTGTAATGTTAAGGAAACGTGAAAGAATAATAATAATGCTCATAAATTTGTTAATAGTATTCAATAATAATAATAACAACTGATAATAATAATCTCGACATATCAAACTAAAAGAAAAGCACACAAAAAGAGATAACACGTGTGTATATTTTATTCGTGATATATAAAGCTACAATTTAATCAAATATTTCTGCCCACCATAAACAAGCTAGAATGCCGCGAGTAGATATGCTTTGGTCGAAATACACTCATCACAAGTGGCCACACACTCATAGCTTCTACTATGTAAGTCCTATATTCATTGCTTTCACGTGAGGCGGAGGTGTTACCCAAAAACGTGAAAGGGTGGAAATCAATGTCTGGTGGATACACAGGTTCACACCTAGAGGAGCTGAAAAATCCTGATTCCGAATATATGGTGTATATACATGGGCTCTAGTATCGGAACGGATCCAATGGTGTATGGTGTTTTGGTCACCGGCGTCCATGAGAAAGTAGCTCCACTGTCTTGTAGATCACAATTTAGGTCTTAAACCAGGACGAAACTGCTGTAATACAGTACTACCTAATTCTCCTATAATAGTTCACTAACTGATGTCAGCTCGTGACCGGACCTGTCACCAATCAAATCCTAGCAAACCAACAGTTGAAAGAAAATTTTCTTCGTTAAATTGTCTCCTACACGTTTCCATTAGTACTCTCAATGAATTAAAAAGAAATCTCCCCCCCCCAAGAATTCTATAACTAATGTATCAAACAAAGCTGGGAGCATTGGACATCCGCTCCGAAAGCCTAGATTGGAACACTTCAGCAGTACGCACCCACCATAGGGGTTCTAACGCAGGACCTCCCAGTTACATAGCGAGCTCACAGGTTCGTGGTCGCGCTATATCGTGAATTGGCAGAAGTTGAAATTGATGAGCTGACTATTGAGTCGAGTTCCAGTGACTAAATGGTCTGTGAGCTCACTCGCCTTGTAACCAGAAGGTCCTTGGTTCGAACCCTGGCAGTGGGGTGGGTGCGTACCGCTGGGGAGTCCCAAACTAGGCTGACGAAACAGCTGTTTAGTACTCCCAGCTGGTTTTCTAACCGATGTCAGCTCATGCTGAGATTCTGCAACCAATCAAATCAAACTGCTGCAAAAGCAAAACCTGTAAGCCTTAACAACAATGATCTATATTTTTAAGTAGTTAAGTGATGAGCAGAGTTCTCCTATTGGTTTGATTGTGAATCATGTGATTTGTCATGTAATGGAGTTACTATGTGAATGTATTATTTCTCACGCATACTGTGATTTAGTGTGTGACCAATTCATCTTCTTTTGTCTCACCTTCATCTTTATCGGATCACCAACCAATGAGAATAGACATTTCCAGCCACGGCTGTGAGCCAATTTTATTATGGTTAAGAAAGTGCATAAACATCACGTGTTGTTTCTTCAACTATACAGTATAGTACAAAATACAATATCTTACAGTCACAGGTCTGCCTTTGTCTTTTGATATTTGCGTGGCTCAGTGAATCAGAAGGTTCAACGGACAAACAGATATTAGCAGCTACTAAAGATTTTGATGTATTTGTGTTCTCTGAGCTGGATGATTTATTTTTGAAGCTTTCACTGTCCTACTAGGTAACATCTTCAGCACATACTTCAATTTGAAATGAGCCTTTAGGTTTCTCCATGAGTTTATTAGTTATCTCCCCTGGTGACCTTGAGCGTGATTGGTTGTTTTTGTGTTTTCACACCCTCTAGGCTACTTGTATTGGCAATGATTGTTTCCTTGAGCTGAAGTTTAACCCTTTGTGTATGAGATTTCTTTCTTATCGATTGGTAAATTTTGTCTATGTCAATGTGTCTATTGATTGACGATTCAATGGAATACCAGGCTTCTGAAGATTCTCTGGCATTTTTGGTGTTTTCTCTGTCTAATATTTGAACATTGTCTTTTGACATTATAACGTATGACATCGCTGCATACAGACAACCACGGATATCAATTCGACTGGGACAACCAACGTTCAAATATTAGACGGAGGGAACACCAAGACTGCCAGAGAATTTTTAGAAGTTGCTTACTAGGGCAATGAAAGCTTCGCAGGTAAATCAACCAGCTCAGAGAACACAACTACATCAAAATCATGCACCTGAGAAACAAATCTTCTCCATTATGTCTACAGTAAAAGAGAGTTTATTAAAATTGCATACTACAGATTCATAATTCTTAAAAAGGAAAGATGAAAAAACCCCTTTAAGAACGGGTTCTAATCTACTTAAGACTATTGAGTTATTCATTCGTTAAATGTGTACGAATTAGCCTTTTTTTTTTTATAAAAAAGTCGTAATAGCTATGGCAATCTGCATGTTAAATCCTGAACATACAAAATAAGTTTTTTTCAGTCATTTAGCTAACAACTGACCCGATTCATAAAAAAATTTGACGGTTGAATTTTTTAAAATTTTATTTTATTTCTTATCATTTTCCAGCTGTTACACTTCTGCTACTACTGAAGATAATGATTTTGACTTGACCTTTCAATTTTAGTGTAACTCTACTCGATCCTGCCAATTGTGTTACGTCACCGAAGTTACTCAACTTTAATTAACCCTACTTTAAATCCAGAACTTTAATAACCACCCCGGCAACATTCCTTTTGTTACCGTTCATGAATAATCCCCATCCAGACATGAATGAAAACAAAACACGTAGTTCAGAGAAAAGTCTCCTTTTCAGAGGCGAATAGATTCATTTAACTATACAATCGCGACTATATATTATACTTATTTTTGTATGTGTGTGTGTACGTTAGGATTGTCCGATAAAAATAAAGAGTGAGATGACTGAACATCTCATCAACACTTGTCATTCTATCTCAACAAACGCCTCCTTCAAAGTGATCTACAAAGCGAAGAACAACCTAACAAAGGCAATACGCTTTCGTCTCTTTTGCAGTGCTAAAGCCTTAGTCATTCAGTCAAAAACATAGAGTTATGCATACAAAAGGAAATCATACAACCATTACTTCTATCATGGTAACAACCGTGTTGACTTCTATTGACTTGACGTTTGTGTGCTTGTTTTCTTTTCTTTTTCTTCTCTAACTCCTTATAATATTTGTAGTCTTTACAACTCTTACATAATTCCATATTTTCCTTTGTTTCTATGTGCATCCTCAACTCATCAGTCTATTCATCTTATTACGCAACTGTATTACGCTTATTCAACTTTTTTCCTTTGTTAATAAATAAGTTATTTTGAGAACACATCACCACTACCTTCTTACCAATCTTCACCCCCACCTAGTTACAGTTTGACTACTAATCACATTTTTGAAATGTCTTGACAACAATATCCATAAATTCTTTTTATTCCTACTGGACAAACCTAATGTACACACACACATACAAAAATAAGTATATATAATTGCAATTGTACAGCTAAGAGTGAAAGAATTTGCCGAAAAGAGACCCTTTGCTGAACTACGTGTTTTGGGCGTACAGTTAGGCAGGTTCATCGTCGTATTTCCGAACATCATCCAGCATGGTTAAGCAAGGGACAAACAAGATCTATTCGAAGTTCTATTTTAGCACACCTTGTTGATACTGAGCATAAGGTTGATGTTAATACTGCATTTAAAATTATTTATCGCATTCCGACTAATCTTAATTTTGCTCTACGAGTTCGTCTTCTACAGACAGCTGAAGCAATCGGAATCCACCTTAAGAAGCCAAGCCTATGTGTTCAGAAGAAATTCGTACAGCCACTTTCCTTACCGTGGCCATCTCTAGAGGAATGCATAAAAAGGACTACGTCGCCCTCCTCCCCCTAAACCTTTAAAAACTATAAAAATTATAATTGTTCAAATTATTTTATTTTTATTTATTTTGACCACTTCATCTTCAATTATTTGTTATCTTTGTAAAATTAATTTATTTTATCCATTTCTACCTTTTAAATGTGTATTGATTTTCTTCGTTAATTATCAACCCATTGACATTTTGACACTGTTTAATTATTGTTAACAAACATATCAGTGCCACTTGTTTGGTAAACTGTTGTGTATTGTAATAAAAATGCTATACGTGTATATTAGAGTAGAGCCAGAGATGAGGATCTAATTGAAAAGTAAATATTTCTTCGCTCAGCTCAATCTTTCTGTTTTCTAAAATATATTGTATATGCATACATATGTACGCGTTTGAAAATGATCTCACTGAAAAGAATATCTCTTCGCTGAACACCTTCTTTTATATGACTGAATGGGGATTTTCAAGTTATTACATCTATGCCAGAGATGGCGCAAGTTGACGAGTGCAACACGAGCCTTTTGTATCCGTGCTGAGATTTTGTCAGCAATCAGGGGCTGTTGAGAATTCCCAAATACGTGAAGTGGTCAACACACTCCACCACTTCTCTTCCCTATCTTTAAGCTAGGAGTTTCTTTCTTATAGACTACTTTAATCATCTGAACAATAATACAATAATAATGGGTGTATGTAATAAGAGCTTTCCTCCAAAATTCAGTGAATTTCAGAAATAAAAAGTCCCATAGCAGCAAAAAATAAATAAAGAATTCAAACAAACATTATGAGGTGTACTCTACAATTCAGTTTTCAGAAGACATTCGGCAGAAATCTCCAAATGTTCGGTATACGATTCGCTCCTGTCAAATGTAAGATAATGCAAGACTAAATTACACAGACTCCCAACTTAAAGAAAGACAGAGTGAAGTGGTTAAGCCTGTTGACCATTTCACTTGTTACATCAGCCCTAGTACACTGATTGATGACAAAACCTCAGCAGGGATACAAACGGCCTGTGTTAAATTCTGTCTCATGTGTTAAGTAGTATAATATGGTGATCATGATTGAGGTTTGCCACAGAGAGTTGGATAAGGAGGGTAAGTCCATCGTTGAGGTTGTAAAACTACACAGATTAAAGTGGCTACGACATGTGCCATGAATGCAGAGTCGTCTTACTCGACGAGCAATGTTAGCTGACAAATGGTTGCGTTTGAAAAGAGTGATTAAACCGAAACCTGCAATAAGTCTTTGATGCTTGGTTTCAGATAACTATGTAGGGGGGTACAGGCTGCTTGAATGGTGGCCCAAAATTGTTCTCAGTGGTGCAGATACATTCATTCTTTGTGACTTCCCGTGTTATTATTCTTTCTCCCTCACATTTCTGCTCATTATCTTTCTTTCGAATATTTTTCTCTTTTGTTTCCTTTGGTGCACTGCATGAAGAGTGACAACTCGAAATGGACCACTTCTGTGCAAAGTCCTATGTTGAAACCGGTCGGTCAGTCAATTCATCCTAGAATTGTGTTCCCTATTTTCAATAGTTATTCAGTGGCAAAGCACTCGCCAAACTCACCATACGTGATCCGAGGTTCGATTCCCGGCCAACGGCCTCCTAGGCCTGGGGCTTAGCCCGTGGTAGTAAGCCCAATAAACATGGAAGGTGGCGTGTGAGGCTGGCAACCGCACCGCATAAAAAGAGCACTGCTACTGAAACTTCAAAGCTCAAGCTTGAAGTCTCACGTTCCACTCGGAATGCAATTAGAAAATACAAAAATCACGGCCAAAATTTTGTGCAAAATCCGTTGTAATGAAATTACTCACCTGATTTGTGGTTTTTATCACAGGAGACAAAGAGAAATAACCTAATTTACTACTGAACGCTTCTGATGCGGTTGTCGTTGTTGTGGTATTCGCAGTACTAACACCCGGTGTTGTTATTGTGGATGATGACGACACTGGGACACGCTTATTAGCAGGACGATATTTTCCACTCTTTGCCCAATAGGATGTTGTGGATGGTGATAAAGCATTGGTCGGCTGACACCAATTGACTGAATTCAATCGATCTAACAACTCAGTTAGATTAGCACGATGCATTGATATTTTCTCCGAGGAACCATCAGTGTTAGGGAATAACGAACATATGGAATCAGTCATTAAACGATTAGTATTTGATGATATACTCGATGCAATTAAATCAGCTAATTTTAATATTTGTTGACAACTTTTATACGCTTCGACTAGTTCACTGGGATTTGATTCGGTCGTCAGCATAACCTCGACGATGTCCAATGCTGTTTGACCATTTTTATTGGTGAGTTGAAGGATCTAAAAAAACAAAAAAAGGAGTGTGAAGTAGAATTGAAAAAAAAACAACTCAGAAATATACAAAAACATATTTCGCGAAAGTTCAACTTAAGGTAATATAAGTATCTCCCAACTAATAACTACTAATAGGTTCATTGTAAAAAAAGTAATTCCTACCCAGCATTTATATTCTCTTGAGTTGCGGGTGAAATATTGGACTTCAGTAGTACATCCTTCTCTATATGACTCGGATTTCCGCAATCTTTCCTAGACAATTCCACGATTGCCCATCGAGGTTTCATTCCTTCCTCACATGATCTCCTCCATGTCAATCTCGAAAAAACCCAACTCGTTTATCGTTCAGGTTTTACTGAAAGGCTTGGTGCGTGATATCACTCAACGGTGTCCTAAGAATAAGACTAATCTATCTCCATTTCCTTATAAGGATAAATACAAAGTGACGTTAAAGTCACCAAAAGGTCAACTGGGAACATCAAGCAGATAGACAGTCATGTCTAAAACAATACTAGTTTTGACAAACCACAATGACTAGTGATAAAAAACAGTAAGCACCGCGTCCAAACCACTTTGTGCAAATAATATTCTGATTCTTTTGTATTATTTATTTTATTCCTTTGCATTCCCAATGGAACATTCAGCTTCAAGTTTGAGGTTTGAATTTCCAGAAGTAATGGTGTTTTTTACGGAATGAGGTTAACTAGCTTCACGCTCAACCTTCCCAATTTGTCGGACTTACAACCGGCTATGGGAGGTTAAGGTATATGCAAGCCGGGAATCGAACCCCAGGCCACGTGCATCGTAGGACTTCACCTCAGAACTTAGTTGCACGGAAATAATCAACAACATATCATATGAATTTACCTTACAAGGAATCGGCAATGGTACTGTGACAACAACACTGGAATTTTCAGAAAGTATTATGTACACTTGAAGCATACAATTTTACTACCCGTATTTGACTGAAGTTGCAGCTGATGAGTCCCACAGAGAACGAAACATGTTTCCTGGATTTCACTAAGCAACATCTTATGTGGAGCTGTAGTCCACTCGTCTAAGCGTTCAACGTCTAACCAATGGGTCATTGGTTCAAGCTCTGCCGAATGCATCGCGGTTTGGCAACCTCGTCCACACACACAATAGGTGCAGCTAATTGCCAACTACATGATATTGCAATTAGTTCTTGAGTAGCATTGGATTAAATAAAACCTTATAAGAAAACATTCCCATAATTAATAGACTATAAATACGATAAAATTACCACACAAATGAAAGATGGACTTACAGGAGTTGGAATCCCACCAGCTTGTACGAGTAATTTGAGTGCATCTACACAACCATAACGTGCAGCATGATGTAATGCTGTATCGCCCAGCTCATTGGCACGTTTCAAACTACCACTTTAAAAATAGAATCCATGAAAAACAATGAGGATTATATTCAACATTATTAAAATATATAGAAAAACCGTCAGTTTTGAAATGTATGGAAATGACATTCTACTAGAACAGCATTACAAACATGCGATGGAAGACCAGGAAAAGGCTGCAGTAATCATATCTTAACACTGTGATAGATATTCACGAACATAGACATCCTTACCGACGTCAAACACTTACCATATTTCTTGACCTAAAGCCGGTTTTCGACTAGATGATGAAGGCGATGTCAGTAAAGGAGAATGATGCTTAGGAAAGCGGTTGTTACTTCCCGGCCGAATTTCTTTTTATTTTCTTCGTCTTCTTCTCTGGCTTTCTGTGCTGAGTGAAGTGTGGCGACACACATCTGTGCAAAGTTCTACGTTGAAATCAGTCAGTCAGGTTTTCGACTGTGTCGACCAAGGGGTGTTGTGGTAACGTTTAGTCTCAGAAGGAGTGCCAAGAAGTTTTATTACACTAATTAATACACTACTCGAAGTCACACAGCTGTGTAAGAGATTATGGAGAGTTGTCATATGAAATGATGACAGTCAGTGGTGTCAGTTGGGGATGATCACTGGCTCCATTTTCTCTAAAATTTCATCATAAACCCTAACTGACTTCAGTGACTCAGGGATTGACTCATTACCAGAGAACAGAGTTAACAACTTGTGTGTACGTCAATGTTATTGTCATCCTAGGTGAAGACACTGGCAAAATTCAGAGTCTTCGGAACGCTCTGAGCAGAAATATTCGAATGTTTGACATGCGATTAGCTTCTGCCAAATGTAAGACGAAGCTACACGACTCGACTACATCGACTCCTAGCTAAAAAAAATAGAGAGTGAAACGGCAGAGCATGTTGACGATTCTCACTTATTTGAGAAGTTGAATCCCAACCTAGTGGATTAGCACAAATACAAAAGGCTCGTTTGGGTATTTACCAACTTGTGTTATCTGTGAAATTCGACTACCGATCAAAGGACATGCATATTGCACAAAATTTCGCTCCATTCTTCTTTAGAGCTGTGAGAAATGACAATTGAAAGTGGAAGATATGAAAAAGGTTAGCTGTTTTTGACTACAGATGTTTGTATTCTATTTCCCGTATGAAGTGGTGTAATATGGTGAGCACTATTGAGGTTAGGGATAGAGTACCAGATAAGGAGAGCAAGTCATTTGATGAGGTTATGAGGCTATACATTGATTGAGATGGCTAGGTTACACATGTTGCGCATGCTGAGCAATGTTAGCTGATTTACGGTTGGGTTGGATGGAAAAGAGTTCAGGATGGTCAAACTAAAACTTGGTATCAATGCATAAGGTCTTTGACTGTTGGTTTGTGTGATGTTGTGAGGCACAGACTAGCAGGTTGGAGTCCTCAGGATGGTAAGAACTATTGGCTGCGTGGAAGCTATTGGTGATGTGGCTCAAAATCATCTTCAATAGCGGAGATGCATTCACTCTCTTTGTAATCTCCCAGGTCCATGAATGATTCTTTCTGCCGTACATTGCTGCTTCTCGTAGTTCCATTAATTCGCTGTTTTTTCTCTACCCTTGTGTGGTGCACTTACTTCCGTGCAAAGTTCTATGTTGAAACTCCGTCAAACAGTCAGTCAGTCAAATGAACGAAGTAGTAGTAGTCTGAATAAATTGTACTACAGTTTGAATCGACTCATAGATTACTACAATTCCTATTTCTTTTTTTTTACCATCGAAGTGAAAAATAACCAAAACTGATTAAAATGCATTAAAAACATTTGATTATTTATTTATATATGCAATAGACACACACACAAACAACGAACCAGGTGTATTTTTACTAATATATGCCATGAGAAAATAATGTATACACAAACAAGGCATTTTTGAAGGATTATTGATTAGACAACAACAACCACAATACATAACGCGAATGTTGGCCAAATTTGTTAGTGCACTTCAAAATAAGTAACCAAGTAGGTAAAAACAGCCTTGTGTATAAACTGATGTGTGTGTGTACATATACATATTTGCATACTGGGTTCAGATCATTATCTAGGCGATAAAGAGAACAAGGCGAAAAAGCCGAAAATGATTCACAGTTGAAGACCAGACCATAAAGAACCGATCGTCATCATCTTCAGAATGTTGGTTATTCTTTTCATCTTGAAAACAAGTTCATCATATTGTTTGATTCAATAACTAATTGAGATTAAAGTTGAACTGAAGTAGTTTTTATTTTAAACGAAGACAGCAGAACACAGCAAAACAAATTACTCTTATTTTTATCTATTTCGATTTCGATTACAGCTTGATGCCACACCGTATTTTCAGTACAAGTATGGAATTTACAACATGGATATCAGTAGCCCAAATTTTGCAGGCCGACCATAGATATCGGGTGTGCGTCGGCAGGGGATCCAACCCTGGACCATGCGCATGGTCGGCGAGTGTCCTAACCACTGTGCCACCGACGCACATGCGGCGGCGGTAGACAGAGTAATGCATACGGTAGATGACATAGACAGTAACAATATCGGAGGAAATACTACATTAATATTAATACAATGAAAATAAAAGAATGAGCAATAGGGCTACATGAACAGCCCTAGTAATAAATTTGAAAACCTCTGGTTAACAGTAATAATAGTACTGTAATATTACTGTTGGCTATCAAACTGATTCACTATGCAGTTACATTCCACCATAGTGTCGCCTAATATCTATGCTTAAACTACTGAAGATATTAGTAACCAATACTTGGATAAGGCAAGAATGACACACAGACAAAAAAATCGTAAGGTATGTTCACGGGGAAAAGAGACCTGGAGGGGCGATTCACCTGAACTTGCCCATTGAACTACAAAAGCTTCCGTCCTATAAGTTACAGAAAAGGATTGCTGAGAACATTGATCGTGTAAAAGAAAGCTTTACTTAGAGGAAAGGGTCGAAGAAGAGTTACTCTTGAAGTCAAACACGGAAAATGTACTGTGGAAAAGGTCAACTGGAGCACAAGGGAGAGAAAACATGACTTTCGACAGCTAGTCTTCAAAAGGTGATGATATCGTCAGTAGAGTAAGATACAGACTCATTTCTGCACTATGAGGAACATATCCAGCTACCACGCTTATTCGTGTGCATCAAACAAATAGTTGCTGAAAACAGTCAAAAGTGAACAAACTCACAACCATATCTACCAAATTATATAGACATGTCGAAGCACAAACATTGGAAGAATAAAGAGAAGTGCTATTGTCCGAATTTCTGAGCACATATCCAACATTCAAGTGTTGGTTTGCAGGGATTTGACTTGTTTGGTTACAGGATTTCAGCATGAGCTGACATCGGTTAGTGAACCATTGGAAAACCAGTTGGGAACTATTTTGTTCTAGTTCGGGACTCTTCATCGGTAAGCACCCACCCCGCTGCCAGGGTTCGAAACCAGGAGCTTCTGGTTACAAGGCGGGCGAGCTTCTAGACCATTAAACCACTGAGACCCAATCCAATGGCTAGACCATGAATTCCAACTTCTGCCAATTCACGATATAGAGCGACCACTAGCCAATGTCATCGGCGAGTATTTGTCCTCACACCTGACCTGCTGTACACCACTGGTCATAACTTCTCACTAGAACCCAGGTAACTACTTACCTGAATAGGGTCAGTCGCTAGTGAGTATCAGACTGATATTCAAGCATATCCAATAACCTAAGACTAAAGGACTCACAAGCACTCAACAATACGACTGCACCCCGTCTACTGGACACTGGTCATATTGTGAAGATTTGTTTATCGATTCAACACCGCACACGTGCAATCGGAATGATGCAACGCCATCTATACCGCGGAGACATGGAAAGTGGCAACAAACAACAAAGAGGAGTCGGAGAGAGAGAAAGAATATATATATATATATATATATATATATATATATAAGACAAATTCTGAAACCGTGTGACCAAAAGCTGATATGATTATGAGCGATACTTTACGCGAGAAGATTCATCGTGCTGAAGTTTCTGTAGCAACTTTGTTTACAGGGTGGGGTTGCTAGCCTCACGCCTGAGAAGGAGATTGCTGCATTAAAATATAGTTTAGAGAGAAGCGACCTTGTGGGTTGCTCCCCCTCTTTTACCTACCTGGGAAGCATCGTTTCAACTACAGGCGGAACTGACGAGGATATCAAAGCAAGAATCGGAAAAGCAAGACAAGCTTTTACTACTCTCAAGTCTGTGTGGAGGTCAACAGCACTCTGCATCAAAAATAAGATCCGGATTTTCAACTTCAATGTGAAGTCAGTCAGTACTACTATACGGATCAGAGACTTGGCCAGCGCGTCATAAAGAGCATCTCAAACAAACTACAGACCTTCATTAACAGCTGTCTTCGCTCAATACTCAAGATCAGATGGCCGGCCAGAAAAGATCAGCCATAGAGATCTCTGGGAGCGAACCAACCAGGAACCGATTGTGAAACAAATAGACAGGAAGAAATGGAGATGGATCGGCCATACTCTGAGGAAACCATCAAGTGACATCACTAGACAAGCCATTGCTCGAGTGGAACCTGAAAGGGAGGCGGCCAGTTGGTCGTCCAAGGGTGACTTGGAGGAGGTTATGTGGGCAGACTTGGAGTCAGGTGAAGACTCTAGCAGAGAACCGAACGCAATGGAGACGCACGGCTGAAGCCCTATGTTCCTCTAGGAATTGAAGGAAACAATAATATAATAATAATACTTTACACTCGAAACTTTGTCATCCAGTTGTTAATACTGCATCATCACTGTGTGTGATATTTAAAATAAACTTATCTAAAATGAAACAGTTTTATGACTACAATAACAATTGGTAAGTAAGATTTAAATTTACCCTGATTAGCAGCAGAATATTTACATATTTAAAAAAAGATGGGTGAATAATCACAACTTACGGTAAAGCATTTTGTATAATGAATTCAACCAACGGTAGATTACAATGAGGTGGTTTCACTTGCTGTTCGTGAATATCATCACTGTCGTTCCATGATGTTTCACCAGATAAACAAGAGAAACTAATATCAGATTTTTGACGTAAATATTTATTTGTTGTCTCTACAGCTATATGTAAAGCAGTTGTTCCCGCCAACAATGGAGTGGAGTCATCGTCTTCTGGTTGAAATGGTGTCATTAAATCCAATCGCTCAGCGTATACCTACAAATGAAATAAATTAAAAAATAGTTGTGATTAAATGAAACGATGATTTTTCCAACAGACAACAGATTCCGAAGTGTCTCAAATTTAGGAAATTAGGATAATATGCACACTATATATCTATCATCATTATAATACGATCTATAATCCTGAGTCAGTGGGGCGATGGTAGAATGCTCGCCAACTACGCGAGCGGTTTGAGCCCGGTTCCCAATCGACGCACTCCTTAACGACGCGTAGGTTCCTGACAGGTAATAAGTCAGTAAAAGAGGGAAGGTTGGACTTCAGGATGACAATCCCAACTTGAAAAAAACACTACCGCCAACGCTGGATACTTCAAAACCTGAAGCCCTGTGTTCCACTCAGAACACTACGACTAACAAAAAATAATAATTCCGACTTAGAATCAAAAGTCCAGCTTTAACCATTGAACAGTTCGAAACATTAACCACACAGAGACAAATTGTTTTGCAATTATTACGAGTAACTCGTCTTAAGTTCAACACAAAGTATACATTAAAATCCCTTCGTTTTGAAATCAACTAATACGTGTGCAAAACTCAGGTGCTGTGATCGTGTGGAATTCCATGTTCATTTGTTTATTGGATATATCATAGAGTGAAAAAGCATTGCTATTATTATTTACTAGATGATAAAGTTTCGAATACAGTCTATTATTGTTCATAATTAGATCACTAGTTGTGTGACTACACAACTTCGAAAACCGGTTCTCATAGTTCTTTCCCATTTATAACGTAAGAGTTGCACAACTTCCCAGATGTTCAGGTGGATAGGCATTGGATGTGCTCTCATTTAACTGATAAATAAAGCTTCCGTTATAAATGTCTCCCTCCAAACCGTTACGTTATATTCTAAGGATTTCATCCTGTCTCATCAAATTGTATGGTTATATGTAACCGTATGTAGTTCTATAGATCATCTATTCTCTAGATTTCTTATCATCTTAAAAGGGTTTACTAGTCTAGTTTTTTGCTTGGTTTTCGTGCTCCACCAGTCTAATTGGCTGGCGTCTACTCCCATGACCTATGTACTTGACCTCACAATCACTGCAGGGTATTAGATATACCAAATTATTTTTCTAATGGGCTCCACAAGATCCCTTAAGTGACATAATTTGTTTCTTAATGAGTCTGTGGGTTTGAAATCTACATTTATTTCTGCCTTGTTCGGAAATGGACGCACGATTCCAGAAGTTGCATTTTTGTAAAGCAGTAATGCCAACGTTTTCAATACCCTATTCTGGGTATTGTCAACTGAGTATATTTGTCATTCATGTTATCTTTATTATGACTGCTCCTACACTTACCTATACACTTCTTGATTAATTTATCAGGGTGGTTTACCAACTGCCAAACCTTTTTTTATTTCTTATTTCCTGACACAGATTTTCTTCGGTACTATTTAGGCCTTTTTTGCCCTATTACTTAAAGATTTCATAAATGGTACTTTCGCTGACATCGGGTAGGATGAACCGAAGTCAGAATATCGATTTGAACATGTGGGTTTTCTGTAAACACTAACTTCCTGCTCTATTTTCGTTTTATGATGCAAACTAGCATTGAAAGTTTCAGTTTTATGACTTTCCGACTAGCAAACGAACTGAACAGTACCTATCGTTGAGTTGGCATATTGAACCTAATAAAACCTAGAAAAACGCTCAGATACACAGCATTATAAGAAGACGAATGCAATAGGATGGGACAAAGTGACATTATTAAAATTTAATGTCACAGGGTGTAGAGAGAGATTGATAACGGGAGTTTTGTTCTGCCGAATCAACTGAGATCATGTGCAAAAGGAATATCTCAAAACCTCTACCAGGTATTTGGAAAAATCTTCTAGTCCCATGACAAATGGGAAAGAAGGATGAAAACTGTAAAAATCAAGTTTCCAAGTTGTGTACTTAGAAATGATATACTTGGGGATCAATAAATTATGTTCGAAATATCATCCAGTAAATAGTACTGCTTCTCTCTGAGATATATCCAACAAAAAAATTAATATGAAAAATGCCCATTGAAATTTTTCAAAAGAATGGTTACTGAACAAAGAATATTCTTTTCGGTAACCTGCTCTTCATCACGTTCTACAGTTATACGCATCCATAATAGTGAATGAATTAGTGTTATTAACAACATTAATGGTGTTTAAATGACATCGAATCAATAATGATCATATCAATGGATTACACTTCGACAGCATCAACACAACAATACACACTGAATATCAGACAGGCAAATTAGGAAAGATGATAATACGAATTCATGAATGAATAGTCTCCACTGAAGGCTGATCAGGGCAGTACTAGTGGCTAGCTGAACTTGCTTCTTTTTCACACAAAGCACAGGTCGTTTCAAGCGAATCGCGATAGCGTCTGCTGTTTGGAGTATGCAGAAAAGGAATGTTCTAATTGTGTAATTAAGAAGCCTTTAAGTATACGACTGCAATTCAGGAGTGACGCAGCCAGTGAAATAATTACTAACAACTTAAGAAAGTCTAATCAAAGACCTTTGAATGCCGGTAAACTAGAAGTTATGTTTTCTAAACGAACGATGGTGATTCCCCGATTGAAAGATGAAGTACCTAGACTAGCCCCTTCTAATTGTATCTACCAATTCAACTGCGCTTGTGATGGAGCGAGTTCTGTTGGCCTTCTTATTCACAGAAGGAGAACAGTCCTTTTCTGCATACTCCGAACAGCAGAAGCTATCGCCATTCGCGTGAAACGACCAGTGCTTTGTGTGAAAAAGAAGCAAGTGCAACTAGCAAGGAAAGATGATGGGCACTAACACTGAATCACATCAAATAAAAGATCCAGTTGAAAATGTCATGGCTTACTTGTATTAATAAAGGTAGATCTCCAGTTTTCACTGCTCTTAACAAATCTCGTCTTAAGAATCGTTGTGAAACTGGATCACGTGTTGTAGTGACAACAGAAGCAGTTGAACTAGTATTCATATCATCTAATTTCATATTATTACTGCCAATATCATTATCCAATAATAAATTCGATGTAGTTTTTGTTATGAAACGTCGATCAACATATTTTGATTTGATAAATGCACGTCTTTGAGTCATTCCATCAGCATCACTGTAAAAAAATAAAATCAAATAATTCAAGTGGAATAAATTGAAAAGAATGAGTACATTATAGTTTACAGTGAAGCCATACATCATAAATTAAACAACATGAATAAGGAAATTGTAATGAAGTACTCGAAAGGAGCTTTATTGGCTAAAATAAGATAAAAGTTTTCATAGATGACGGCTGTGAAAGTGAAGCAACATATCAGAGGGAGATTGTAAATTCGTAAATGAACTCAAATTTGATCATGATCTGACTTCAGCTGACTGACTGACTGGTTTCTATATATGACTTTGCATTGAAGCGCACCATTTCGAGTTGTCACACTCCATTTAGCACACAAATCAAGAGAGTATAGTAAAGGGAGGTTCAAAAGACAAATAATAAGCATATGTGTGAGGGAAAAAGAATAGCAATATGTAAGAACAACGGAGTTTTACTGGATACGACAAATCATAAAGAGTGAATGCATCTGCGCTGTCATTGAGAAAGATTTTGAGCAATATCACGAATTGTCTCCAGTCATTGATTATTACTATCCTAAGCACCCCAACCAGTCTGGAGGTCAGCATCTCCCAACGTGGCTTATACTAACTGTTAAAGATTTCATGGACTGATTTCATGTTTTGGTTTTGACCATTAGTCGCTTTCTCTTTTCCAAACTGATCCTACGTCACCTAACATTGCCCGTCGACATAGTCGACTGATTTCAGTTAGCGAACCATGGAAGACTAAGGAGTGCTGGATAGCTACTTCCTCCTTGTGTGGGACTCCTAAGCTGATGACATTGACTGCCGGTTGCACTATATACCACGAATCAACAAAAGTTAGAATTGACAGGTCACTGGATTTCATTCCAGTGACTGAATGGTTTACGAACTTCCCTTGTAGCCTGAAGGTCCTGGGTTGATTTTTGGTGGCATCATGAGTGCGTACTAGTGAGGAGTACCAAACAAAGGATGGAACAACTGGCCAATACGCTTTGGTTTACAGTCACTCACTAACTGAAGTCGGGTGGTGATCAATCTTGATATCAATTAAATCCCTACAAACAAACTCCTCATAAATGAACTCCACTAGCCATTGATTGAGGCAACTGAAACATACACTACGCACGCTAGGCCACCGCCTTCTTCGACAAGCTATGTTGTCTGAAGTAAAGCTTTGTTGTTAAAAATTTTCGGGGATAGTTGAGCGAAAACAAAGTACCAGTCTGTGAAGACATTGACTGTTTATCTCAGTTCAATAAGAAGGTCTACACAACCAACGAGAGTCCTCTTGGCGACAAGGAACAGATGTATTCATTGTCGAAATTCTGTAAATTTGTAAAGGTCTTCATTAAGTTATGCCTCATTAATCTTTCCCACTAGTCCAGATGTAGCCGACAGACATTTGTGTTCACCCTTGCACTTTCGTGAGAAACACCTCTGTGGAGTGAAAGCAGTGGAAAGGACTTATCTGGCCGGCAGAGGCCTTAAATGCTTGGCAACATGACATCATTTCGAGAGGAAGACCAGTCTAACCACCCTCAGTCGCATCAGGTTTAGAATACTTCAATAGATGTGGTGGTTTAATTCCAGTAAAAGTAGCATCTTATGGTACTCACTAATTGGAACAGACAAAACTAAGCAAACTAACTAGTCAATTAGCAAATAATCTTTGGAAAAAAGCTTTAAATAATTTTTGGATTAAATATTTAGAGTATGACGGTGAAAAGAAGGAGATTATCAGAAAAAAACATACAGCAAAAGTGTTTATATTTCCGTCAATTCAAAGGAAAATATTTTGTCAACAGCATGGTTTGACACAGCTTACTTAAGTCCCCATGTGTCTATTACTTGTTATCGTAAGGTGATAGTTCCATTAGCAAAAATAAATTTAAACGATACGTAGATTATCTACATGCACACACAAACGCAGACTAAAGAGTGCTTACCTTACAGCATCTGTAGCATTCGGTTTAACTTCTGCTGGTAGACTAGATTCAAAAACACTGTTGAACAATTGGTTCCCGATAAATCGAGGTAACTGTGAAAAAAAAAGAATATTATCAAAAATACAGAGAAAAGCAAACCATTCAGTATTACTGATATTAATTATTACTTGATGCATTAGGGTGTAAGAGGCTCACAATGACCCCATAAACGACTTGTTACGGTCGAGGGTGGGTGGACTTCGGTATTCCTCTTGAAATGCTCTCATTCGGCCGCCACGAGTTCATAGCCTCTGCCAACCAGGTAAGTTCTATTCACTGCCTGCACGCGGGTGGAGTGTCCCTTTTCAAAAGTGAAATAAGGAAGGTGAACGTATGGTGCTTATAACTGGACTGATGGATACGTAGGTCTGTATATCTAGAGGGAGCTGGAAATCCCTGATTTTAAACCTGTGGTGTACAAGAGCTCCAGAATATAAAAGAATCGAATGGTGTATAAATCTGTTTTGGTAACCAACAATCACAGGAACTAGATTCTGATGCTGATTCACTGCCTTGTAGACTAGACTCATAGATGGCAACTTGAGATAATCACTTGCATCGGGATTTGGGCGTCCGGACAGTATCCCAGCCTTCGCAAAAACTGAAATTTTTTGAGACGTGCATCTCATGGTGCCTATAATGTACCATGTTTATGTTTTAATAATAAACATCTTCCAATGTGTGAGGAAGTGGGTGAATGTTATCCAAACATTAATGTTGTTAATAACCCTAATTCTTTCATTATTATAGATACATAACTGTAGAACCTGATGAAGAGCAGGTTATCGAAAAGAATATTCTTTGTTCAGTAATCAGTCTTTTGGAATATTGAAAACGTATTGTATGAAAGGGAATTATCACGTATATTGAAGTTAATTTCTATTTAACCTATTGAACTGTCACGATTAGAAAAGTCAGATGCTGAGGTTCACTGACTGGATGCATATTTTTTAACGAAACCGCGAAACGATAACGCTGATCAGTGGAAAAAAAGCCAAGCAGCTCGTGTGGTGGAAGCAATTGACACACTAAGAGACCACTAGTGAAGAAAATTTCTTTGTGTATGGCTTACAATGCATTAGAGTTAACGGGATGCACTTTCAACACTTTCACTTCAGGCATGCTATATTAACGAAAAAAAGGAAGCTTGATGCATACACCACTCTCAGAGTAAATGGACGAAGACAAGAGTATTCGTTCAATCGCGTGTAAATTTCAATCAAGACACAGCTTAAGATACATAATCTGTAAGCAAGTCGATGGAAAAAGGAGAAGCAGGAGAGACAATGCACAGTGGAAGATGTTTTCCTTTAGATTTATTCAAAACATAAAAGGTATCCGTTTCGTGTGACGACAAAGTCTATCAGATTTCTGCTTGTAGGAGCTTCTTAAACGATTAAATTTCTAAAAGTCATGTCACTACAACGAATCCCACTGTTTACAAAGCATAACCGCAGAAGTCAGTCGAAGTTTATATTTTTGGGTTGACCCATCTTAGCTTCTGCTTCAACTACTACTGTGGTGAGAACTGTCTACTAGCCAAATTGGTAGACAGTAATTTACGTCAATGTTTAAGTTCTCAAGATTTGTCGTGAGAAAATATGAACAAAGACTGATTCAAAACCAACCACAGCAGACTTTGCGTAGGTGGATACAGTTAACATATAGAGGATTTGATATTCAAGAAACAGTCACAAATAGATGAAAGATTAACTTTACGTGAGAAACAGCCAATCGGAAGACTGTGTTTGTTTGCTTAACTAATCTATAATAATGTACATGAAAATGTATAAATATGCTTTGATTTCTTTAAAAAACGATCTGTTGCCTGGCCCTTGTCTTCTGTTGTTACACTACTACTTACACTGAGACAACAGTATTACTGAATTATTAGTCATTCTAAGAACACAATTACATTTTACTTGATTGCCATGCTACAATCCTTTCTGACGTGATGTGACTTTAAAGGACTGCTTCACCAGTGATTCAAGCAAACTCGATCAACGTGACATAGAAGTAACTATTGATCGGTGGTAGTTCAATAGCAGAATGCTAGCCAACAACACCAAACGTGGTCCGGGGTTCGATTCCCAGCCAACACACTTCTAAACCTCGATTAGCCAGTGGTAAGGCCGTTAGATTGGGAAGTTTCGGTGTACGAAGTTAGCATCTACACCCCGTAAAGACAACACCACCGCTACTGGGACTTCAAAGCACGGGAAACAAAAGCAAATCAACAAAAAATGATAACAATTTTTAAATAAAACGTACCAATAACTGATTGGTAGACAATTCATCCATTAATAATGATTGTGTTCGTGAATAGTGTACACCCAATTCTCTATGTGCTCCACAGCATTCTAAGCATATTAATATGCCTAGATTTACACTAACCCATTCAGGATCTATACAAAGTGAGCAACAACAACGATAAAGAAGAGATTAGAATAAACAGATTATGATGAAAGTGAAACGTTAACAATATCAAGGCTATATCTGTCTGTGATTATTGAATAAAATTTTTTATCTAATAAAATCCAGATGTTCAAGTATTGGTTTGTAGGGATTTGATTGATTCGTTACAGGATTTCATCATGAGTTGACATCGGTTAGAGAATCATTGGAAAACCAGCTGGGAGTACTAAACAGATGTGTCGTCCTAGTTTTGGGCTCATCAACGGTACGCACCCACCACAAGGGTTCGAACCCACGACCTTCCAGTTACAAGGCGGGCTCGTAGACCATTAAGCCACTGGGATCCAATCCAATGGTTCAATGGTCGCGATATGTCGTGAATTGGCAGAAGTTGAAATTCATGAGCTGACCATTGGACCGGGTCCCAGTGGCTGAATGATCTACGAGATCGCCTTGTAACCGGAATGTCCGGGGTTCGAACCCCACAGTGTGGGTGCGTACTCCTGACGAGTTCCAAAGTAGGCGGACGGAACGGCTGCTCAGTACTCCGAGGTTTTCAAATGGTTCTCTAACCACTGTCAGCTCATGATGAATCCTGTAAAAATCCAGATGTTGTGAATCACTGTACCAAAGGCCATCGCGGTTTACGTCTCACATAGTGTTTGTGAATCAGTCTACTTATAGATTAAATAATCTTTCATCAAAAGAATCCAAGTTGCTTTTTGTTTTACTATCAACATTTACGCGCCACCCATGTTGAAATGAATTAATGGAAGATGCATGTAGTAATACAGTCAATTTACACCTTGGATGTTTATCAATCAACCACCCATATAACCCGAGACATCAGCATGCTCCCTTCATCTGCTGATCAACATAACTATGCAGTGCATCACTTAGGAGCCTCAATATATACACGGCTGATTATGTTGTCCAAAAAGTGACAACTGGTGCGATTCAGTCAGTAAATATAAAATTTCTTACACCTTAGAAGAAAAAAACTATGCGACAGGATTATTCCCAAATATACATGTGAGGAGTGTAAAATCAAATCTTACCCAGTGAAACAATTTAATGAAAACAAATCGAACTAACTGTATTCAGCTTTACCTTCAAATGGTACATTTTT